AAGTATGTGTTACTGAATAAGCACGTAGAAAGTGTGTGTTACTGAATAAGCACGTAGATAAGTATGTGTTACTGAATAAGCACGTAGATAAGTATGTGTTACTGAATAAGCACGTAGATAAGTATGTGTTACTGAATAAGTACGTAGATAAGTATTCTGTTACTGAATAAGCACGTAGAAAGTATGTGTTACTGAATAAGCACGTAGATAAGTATGTGTTACTGAATAAGCACGTAGAAAGTACGTGTTACTGAATAAGCACGTAGATAAGTATCTGTTACTGAATAAATGAATAGTTTCCGATAGAAAGGTAGGAAGATTGCAAAGTAATTATGAATATAAGTAGGCAGTAATGAATGGATGGGTGGAGAGACGGTCAAAATTGGAATGGAAAAATTTTGACAAAGCGAATATGAATACTACACGTTCCAATGTTTTCACCTCAAACATGAAAGTGTCCACTTCTTCACGAATGTCTTCTAACGTTAAGCTGGGGTCACTGAGATGATGGGTAATCATTAGGTCTAACAAAGCCTGGCGCCTCTTCAATTTATTCTCGATAGTGCCATCCTGTTCTTTACCAGAAGCTCGACTCATCAGTATCTGGGCTTTGCGATTAAGAATGACCTAGTAAAAGGTATCGTCATGTTTCTTAGTTAAAACCTTAGACCAGAAATGTTCTATTAACCATAATATCTTCATTCTATAGAAATTGTGACTAAGTTTGCTTTAAATATGCAATATACTTACATAAATATATTAAACAATTGTATTTAAAAATCATGATCGTGTTTTTAAACTCTTTGAACTAACTGAATGACAGCTTCGGCCTACCCAGTCAGTCTGCATGGTGGTTTCTGTGTGTAGATACATCAAACGAATTACCTTTTTTCTAGCTCCCTGCAATTTGTCTCCAAAGTACACCTCCTGTCCGTCCAACGTAAACTCCAGGGACTGGGCCCACTCAAAATTTGGTTTTAATTTCTTAAAATATGTATGTTTTGTGCTGATTTAAGTTCATAAGTAATATATAAGCATATATACATAAATCACAAAAAAATAGAAAAATACATAAAGTAATTTAATGGAGTTTCGTTCCATATAGGCCTAACTATTGTATAAAAACCTGAAAGTATAAAAAATGGCATTCATTTCTCAGGATGAATATTATATCGTACCATATAGGCCTAACTGTTGTATAAAAGAAGCCTGAAAATATAGTAAATGTTGTCATTCATTTATCATAAAGAATAATATATGAAAATAAGGATAAGTCTTGAATTTTGAAACATAAGATTTTCATTTAATTTTTTTTTTCTTCAGTAAGCAGTTGTTGTTCTTAAACAATCTTAACAAAGCCCAAACACATGGGATGAACAAAGAAGGTAATACAAAGGCTACAGTACTTAATTAAGATTTATTATTTGCGCCACTATATTATTTGGGTTATTTCTGTCACTCTACATAATTACTTACCGTTCTGGTAAAATTGTGTAGCTCTGCTAAGCTTTTATTAAAACGGCGTCCGTAAGAAGATATTGAAAATAATATCGTAGGCCAAAGCCACGGTCGTATCATACGACACACGAACATTTCACCAACCCTTTTTAAAGAAAAAATAACTTATCATTGTGTCATGCCCTATTTACTGAATGGAAAGGAAAATATCATCTCGGGTTTCACAACTAATTTTTTATTTATAAGTTAACTTTACAGCACGTTCTCTCGGCTTCGCTCAGATTGGCCTAAAAATTCACTGTGACGTAATGACAGGGTTCAGTTTGTTTGTTCGCTGTTCCATTATGAAAATGAATGAACTAAACCTAACACTTTAAAGTACTTTCATCGAGGTAGGCTTAAATCGTTTGTTGCTATCGTAAAAAAAAACTAAAAAAAACCCTAACCTACCTAGGTTTAACTTGTTTATTATTCTATAAGTAACATAAATATGACAATATTTATATAACACCTGCTTAAATTAATATTTAGCAAACGTATATATAAACCTCAGTAGTTTTGTAATTCGTCCTATTTTTTTTCGTCAATAACACCAATTAGGTTAAAACTCTGGGCTTGCAAAAATAAAGGTTAAAGCCACTGGCAATAACCAGAAACCCATTATTTTTCTTTCGTTGATTTGCGGATATTAGGTGGCCCACAGAGTTAAGTTACGTCAAGCAAAGTTCAATGATGGGACAGAAAAAGGGCTGGAAAGTTTGGTAATCAAACCGTCGAAACTGGTGAAAAAGGACCCTTCAAATACCTTTGATGAGTTTTAAATCGATCATAATATTTTAGAACAAAAGTTTCTTTACGGTATTCTTAAACATTTTACACATTATAAACTGTACAAAGACCCCTTACATACAGAAATACGAGTATAAAATATCACAGAAAACTAATAATTAATATTTTTACCATTTGCATCTCCTCTTTTCTCTTTATTTCTGTTGAGATTTTTATTTTTTTTACTTTGGTTTTCTTTTTGTATTAGAAATTAGAGGTCCTGACCCTCTGTTCCCTCCCGATCTGTTTCTGAATAGTCCAAGTACTTCAGTATCACATCAAACAAGGAACAGAAACGTAAGGAAAACGCGAGAAAAAATATTTTAAGGATGCTCTATCTTTTCATAGTTGTATGCTGTCTTTAGTTATACGACTCTCGTTAATTAACATATACATAAAACAAACAATAATCTAAACTTGATTTATTTAACAGTTATTACAATATATGGGTGTTTAAAATATTCCCAAAACTGACTTAATTCTCGGTTGCTGGCAAAGTTCTGTTTGGTGTTATTACGTTTTATTTATATTTACTACAGCTTACTTGATTTTCACTTGACAATTAACTTTTCTTGTAGCATTTCCTTTAAATCCATCAAAAACATAGAAAAAGGAAGTATACGCTTACTCGTACAAAGATTTCAGATACGGCGATTCTGTATTTTCTTGGGTGCACATCCTTATCCCCATTGCACTTTCTGAAACATATAATTAAATAATATTATTGGCGAACAATTATTATCGAAATTTTTCGAATGTGTATTTGTGTAAGTTATAATATAGCCTGCCAGATGATTTTTTTTTGTTTTCAAAACGACATTCTGTGACGGAATTTTCGTTTTTTGTTTTTTAACATTGAGTTTACCAGTAGAATAGATTTTCAAATTTACAAGAAGGTCAAAATGAAAGTCAGTTTATAGATTTATTTTGTTCTAAGCTGCATAGTCAGTTTTTCAAATATAAGTGTCATAAACTTGAAATATCTTTATAGACAACCTATACAACCAAAACCTTCAATTGCAAAGTACATAATAAATTGATGAGCATGATAATCTTGACATTGAGATGTTATTTTAAAATGTATTTGGGTTTTACTGATTCTATTAGTAGGTAACAAGAATAAACATTTGTTGCTGTTTTTCACGGCGCTTTTTCGTAAAACAAAATTACAAATAAGTAAAGTTTACTGCAGATGATCGTAAGAGTAAATAAAAAAGTGGCCTTATGGGTTTTACAAACACAAATAACACTTAACTTTTAACATAAACGTTTTTCCCTAAATAGGAAAATCAAAGCTCACCACAAATTATGTCCAATGTACAAAGAGTAACATATTTAATTATGTCCACCCATTTCTCGCTTTGAGCTTGCCTCAACTTTTCCACTAAGATTTGACTCTGTTCGTTGAATACTGGAATGAAGTCTTCAAGAATTCGGAAGTGAAAAGCGGGAGTTAACAACTTCCGTCTTTTTCTCCATTTACTTCCGAAACTAATAATAAAATAAGATAAATATTTTCAAAGATAACTTTCATATATATATATATATACTTGTAACAGTTTTTAAAACGACATACAAGCCTGATTTATTAAACTGTCGTTAATAACGTTGAAATTATCAAGAAAAATAAAATATAAATAGTGCAAGGCTTCTTAACACTAAGGTCACTGACCTGCAATAGAAAATTGACGAAGTGGTGGTGTAAACGAAAGTAGACAGTTTACTAATTTTTTTTATTTAGAGTGTAAGGTTTTTACCCATTTCTTGCTTTAGTTTTTTCCACATCGCCACTGTACAGCCTGGACCTCAAGTACCAAAAAATAATCATCTGTTCATTTATTTTCTTTTTCCACACACTTCTGTAGCATACAACTCACATTTGTCGTCCTTTATCAGTTCGCTGAATTATCACTTTCAACATATTTTACTTGTTTAATGTAAGATTACCTCAAGCGAATACGATGTAATATAATTTGCGTTACTTCAAGCAGGAATTAGCTTTGAGAAAGACTTGATAAATTAGAATTTTCAATTTTAGGGATCTCTAACCCAGCTGTTTAGTCAAATTTTGCATAAAAGTTTAGGTTCAAAATTCAAATTTATTAAGTCTTACTCTAAGTTAATTCCCACTTGAGGTGACATAAATTATTTTACACTTAGATAGTATTTGCTTGACGTAATCTTACAATCAGTCAACCCGCACCCTTATATTTAACTAACATCGCTTTTTTTTCAGTATTGTTACACACTTAACATCAATGTCATCGCTTTTTTTTCAGTGTTGTTGCATAGTCAACATCAATGTCATCGCTTTTTTTTCAGTATTGTTCCACAGTCAACATCAATGTCATCGCTTTTTTTTCAGTATTGTTCCATTAATATTTGTTTGTTTGTTAAGCGTAAAGCGACATAACGGGCTGCCTGTGCTGTTACCGTCGCAGGTATTAAACCCTGATGTTTAGCGTAATAAGCTCTCAAGTTTACCGCTGTGCTACGAGGGGTACGTTGATCACTAGCACGTTATAATGTGTCAACGTAGGCATCATTTGATTATCATTAAGTGACGCTATTATTTAATTTAACGTATAAATGAAGTATGTTGGTTGTTGTTTTAACGCAGAGTTACAGATTAGGCTATCTGCGTTCTGCCCATCGCGAGGAATCAAACCCAGGATTTTAGCGTTGTAACTAATTAGGCTAGTTTCCTGCATGACCACCCTAAAAAAGAAGAAAAAATCTACAAAGAACGTTATAAATAACGTTTTGTTCCCCAGAATACAAAGTAAGAAAAGATTAAAATTAAAGCTATTGTATAACAAGCAATGAGTTACGTGATATAGGTTTAACAGCAACAACCTTTTCGTTGAGTTACGTGATATAGGATTAATAGCAGCATCATTTTACGTTGAGTTACGTGATATAGGTTTAACAGCAGCAACCTTTTCGTTGAGTTACGTGATATAGGATTAACAGCAGCACCATTTTACGTTGAGTTACGTGATATAGGTTTAACAGCAACAACCTTTTCGTTGAGTTACGTGATATAGGATTAATAGCAGCATCATTTTACGTTGAGTTACGTGACATACAATTAACAAGAGCAACCTTTTACGTTGAGTTACGTGATGTAGGATTAACAGCAGCAACCTTTTACGTTCTGTTTTCGAGCACTATGTCTTATTAAGCTAAGACATTTCGTTCTACAGATGTGACTCTGTTGGACAATTTACCAAATGGAAATTAAGCCTTTTCTTGTAACGGACATCGGAACTTTTATCCAAGTTAGTTTTCATAATATATATATATATTTATTTTGAAACTAATCATCAAATTTTAAAATCTCTCTAATTTTTTAAAACATCTTGAAATCCCCCTACAAAACAATACATACAACCTTCAGTGACGTAGAAGCTGGGGCAGCTAAACAACAGGCTATATAAAACATATAATTAAACAGTGTTATTACTGTGTTGGTATTTAAAAAAATATATATTATAGATGGTAGCATTACATTTCGCTGATCTAAACACACATAATAATATGCATTGAATTTCATCCTACTAAAACAAGACATTAATAATCTGTGTTCATTTACAAAAACAAGCTATTATTGACTTTATTATTTATTGAATAATGTATTTGTTTTGTAAGAATTATCTTTTGAAAAATTGAAACAAAACTATTTATCTGTAAAATGTATTATAATGGTATTTTTTTAGCAAATCCACATAATGGTATCATTTTAAAATAATCATATATGAATATGTATATGTGTGTGTGTGTATATATTCTAAGCAATTAAACTTATTTATATGTTAATAATCGCTTAAATATATTGTTTTTGCCAGTAGGTAAAGTATAACGTGTGTGTGTTATATCTTCTTGGTTGCATTAAAATATGGTATGACGAGTATAATCAATGATGCTTTGACAACATAACTGAAAAATGTTATAAACTGGGAATTTGTTGTGCCCTCCCCCAAATACAAATAATACTCCCATGGCCCTGATCTTATTAATTACCTTGTCAACAACCCTGATCCCAGCCATGGATGTAAAAAGGAATATTCGGTTGATTTTTCTAATACTGTGGAACTTCTGAGAATCACCTGAAATGAAAAACAAACCCATCCTACATTACTCAGTTCCATACATGCATCACAATGTCTTAGTTTGTAATAACAGTTTTTAGTTTCTTGACCTTGACATTCTGCTTATAAATAAGTAAAACATATATTGAAAGTGCTTAAGCTGGATGTGTTTGTTATACCCTATTGTATATTTGGTCTCGCTAGCGTGTGAATGGGGTAACGAACACAGTTTAACACATGGCACTCCCAGGATCCCGAGTTGGGGCCAGGAACACAAAATTCAATGTCAGATTCGGGTTAAACGGCCCCCAAAACCTACCCCTAAGCTACCATCATGCTTGGGTGACATTTCGGATTCGTTTTAGCCTCCATCCCTCTCCTCACCTTAATACCAATGTCGCTACACCATATAGAAATGACACACATATACACATGGGCCATCTCGAGTCCTTCTATCAATTACCTACCCCTAAACTACCATCATGCCTGGGTGACATTTCGGGTTCGTTTTAGCCTCCATCCCTCTCCTCACCTTAATACCAATGTCGCTACACCATATAGAAATGACACACATATACACATGGGCCATCTCGAGTCCTTCTATCAATTACCTACCCCTAAACTACCATCATGCCTGTGTGACATTTCGGATTCGTTTTAGCCTCCATCCCTCTCCTCACCTTAATACCAATGTCACTACACCATATAGAAATGACACACATATACACACCTGGGCCATCTCGAGTCCTTCTATCAATTTTAGCCCTGCTAGTTCCAAAACTGTCTGAGAAACTCGCGGACAAAGATTTTTTAATGTTTATTATGTTACGAAAAATAACAGAAGTACAATTTCCTGAAACTTATTCTATACTTGGAATATAGCATGAGTTTAATGGTCAATACTCAAATGTTTATTCTAACAGGATCGCGCTTCCTACCATGATGTGTAATATATTCTACATAAACACGATGTTACAAAGTTTGTTAGGCTCATGTCTAATTTCAATGTAACAATATTAACATCGTGGAATGGTCCACTTAGAGTCCAAATCCCCACCCTATAGAACATCTTTGGAAACATATAGAAGGATCATTTAATTTGTCCAGTTAGATTATTGTGAGTCAGTATTTTATGTGAAACTAGTTGGAGTATCCGTCCTTTGGACTTGTGAAATAAAAACTCGTTTGTAACAAGGGTTTTTATTTATTTTTTCTGTTGTTTTTGTCATATCTAAGATTCTTCATGGATCAAAATAGCTATTCTTCACATCTTAAAACACAGTGTACCAAGTGTTCTAAAAGCCACCCCTCCTCTTTAGCCGGCAACGTACAGAAAACCGATGGACACAATGTTGAGAAATTCGGCGCTGTGTAGACAATTTGACCATGCGGAAGACATTACAAAACTGCTCGAATATGGATCTGCTTTTATCATGGAATATGTTTTGGATAGGGCAGGCGGGTGGTTAGGGATAGGAATCTCTATTCGCACTACAGCAGTAATTGGTTAAGTATGATATTGGACGATGGATTTTATACCATGTGGTCATCATAACACACCACACGACTGTCAACGTGTTCTTTTACACGGTCACATTAGTTTTAACACCCAGTCTAACTTCACAATGTCCATCGGTTTCCAGGACGACGAAAATGACTTTAGAAACACAGGATATATCCGTAAAATAAGGTATTTATTACAGACCACACTCTTATGGAATGTTTTTACTCCCTGACACTGACTATTATATTTGAGTATTTTAAGCCATCGTCTACCCCTTCTTATGACCAGATAGATATATTCTTACTAGACAAAATAGTTTTTCACAAGAAAACAGTAGAATTTTGATAACATGTTATTGAAGTTATTTAAGTTTGTTTTTAATTTTTGCGCAAAGCAACACGAGGGATATCTGCACTAGCCGTCCCTAATTTAGCAGTGTAAGACTAGAGGGAAGGCAGCTTGTCATCACCACCCACCGCCAACTCTTGGGCTACTCTTCTACCATGAAATAGTGCGATTGACCGTCACATTATAACGCCCCCACGGCTGAAAGGGCGAGCATGTTTGGTGGGATGTGGATTCGAACCCGCGACCCTCATATTGTGAGTCGATCGCCCTAACCACCTGGCCATGCCGGGCCACTTATTTAAGTACTAATTTTACATCTAGTACTGTTATCCAAAAACTGAAATTGACAACTTATTACACGATATACGCCAGGGACTGGGTAAGCAGTAAGATTGTTCTTATTTTTCTTATAAGGTGATCTAGGAAAGAATGCAATGTTTGTTTACCTACCTCTATAGTTTCTGGTTTGAAAAACGCTACAGAAGGTCGAATTCCATTCCAGAACCGATATATCCTTTCCTCATGAAATAGATGAGCGAACCCACAGGTTACTTGGAATAGTACTAAAGAAAGTAAAAATGAATTCAGACTATGTTTCTCAACCTTTTTCTGCTCAGAACACCCCTTCACATAGTCTCCAATTTCCACATAGAAATCTCCTCCCAAATAGGTTCCGTATGAAATGAAATTTGGCAACCTTCATTTTTCTTTTAGTGACATAGAATCTTTTCAGATATGTGACGTAGCAATTTATTTGTTGTTGTTTTTTTACAATTTTTTGCTAAAACCTGGCGGCACCCCAAGCGGAAGTTTGTTTATTTTTCTTGAATTTCGCAAAGCTACACGAGGGCTATCTGCGCTAGCCGTCCCCAATTTAACAGTGTAAGACCTAGAGGGAAGGCAGTGACGGTCAATCCCATTATTCGTGGGTAAAAGAGTAGCCCAAGAGTTGGCGGTGGGTGGTGATGACTAGCTGCCTTCCCTCTAGTCTTACACTGCTAAATTAGGGATGGCTAGCGCAGATAGCCCTCGTGTAGCTTTGCGCGAAATTCAAAACAAACAAACAATTTTGTTTTTAACAAGCAAGTGTAATTTTTGTAAATTAAAAGCGTTTCTTTAAGTGTAGATGTCCAAAACTTTCCTTATTTAAGACTAATTCTAGGGGTTTTTAAACCCAAAAGATTTTTAGGGAAAAGATAGAAGACACAGCTGCAAATAAGTACGGTTGTTGTTTCATGTTATATTTGTATCAGTGACAATTTAATGATTTGTATCTCATCGCGTGGGCAGTGCTTATAAAATATTATAATAATCATGTTGTACATATGAGAAACTTGTAATAATCACTTACAACCCATAAGGAACTCATAATGTTCATTTAAAACCCATAAGAAACTCATAATGTTCATTTACAAACCATAAGAAACTCATAATGTTCATTTACAACCTTTAAGAAACTTGTAATGTTCACTTACAACCCATAAGAAACTTTTAATGTTCATTTACAACCCAAAATCTCATAATGTTTATTTAGAACCCATAAAGAACTCATAATGTCCATTTACAACCCATAATAAACTCATAATGTTTATTTATAACCCATAGGGAACTCATAATATTCACTTACAACTCATAAAAATTCATAATGTTCACTTACAACCCATAAAAAAATTCATAATGTTCACTTACAACCCATAAAAAAATTCATAATGTTCAGTTACAACCCCATGAGGAACACATCGGGTAGAATAAAAAAAACAAAAAACATTTCTCTGAAGTCGTTTGTCGTATTCATTGAAAATGGTTTCCATCCTTCAGTCAGCACTGAAAACTTTAAAAATAATAAAAAGATTATTCCCAGCAAACTAGGTCACGAGCGGCCTGTTATTTTCGATGCGCAATATCTGCCAGACTGCTGCGCGGTAGCGCATGCGCGCAGCGTATGGGTAACACTGATTCAATCATACTAGTATATCACACAAGTAATTAGTTAATGTTCTAAACAGTAAAATAAGGTGTTATGACTGTCTTGCCTACGTCTACTTACACAAGTTGATGTTATCTATCGTCCTCGCTTCCTTAAGTTGTATGACCAGTGAAGTGTTACCCATGAACGGGTTACGGAAGTCCATCCCTGGTATCTTGTTGATCGTTTTTCTCATGTTGTACCACCGTATCCAAGCTGGGGTGAACGTAAGCACAAAAGATACACATATTAAAAATATGGTGACACACCAGTCATTCAAATATCCTGGAACGCTGCCTAAAAACGCGGTCAATCCGTTCATGACAATATTTAGTGTTCAGTACAGGGAGAAGCTGAGAGATATCTGCTGGATAAAGTCGTGAGTAGAAGTGTTTAGACTGCACAGTATCAGTTTACATTCAATTCCCTTGACATTCAATCCTCACCTCTACACTGACGTACGCTTGGGATTTTGGTTCTGTTTACATAAACAGGTTAGAATTCAGCATTAGAAGCTTGAGGTTAAGAAAATTAATATGTCTGTGATCACAAATAAATTAGGAAGTAAGCAGTGTTCTTAGCTAAAATATCATTTACATTTATCGTATTTCCTGACGAGAAACTGTTCAAGGCTATGTCAGCATGTTTTTTATGACAAAGTAGAGGTAAGTAGACTACTCTTCAGACGTGTACCATCTATATTGTCGGGAAGTTGAGGCTTTGATAATAACGGTCAAAGGTGCTTATCATTTCTGTGATAAGTGAGTTGGGGAGAACAAAAATTTTAATTATGGCTTTTGAAGGAAGCAAGGGTCGCCGAGACAAGTGCGTTCAGAGATGGTGGAGAGCGTGGAAATGACACTTGAGACGAATACTGAATCTATTATAATGACGTTTAAAAGTGGACAAGGACTGTGATAATGGCCACTGGAGGTGCAAGAAGAATATTAAGTAATGAGTGGTGACATTCTATCATAATGACGTTTAAAAGTGGACAAAGACTGTGATAATGGCCACTGGAGGTGGAAGGAGAATATTAAGTAATGATTGGTGACATTCTATCATAATGACGTTTAAAAGTGGACAAAGACTGTGATAATGGCCACTGGAGGGGGAAGGAGAATATTAAGTAATGATTGGTGACATTCTATCATAATGACGTTTAAAAGTGGACAAAGACTGTGATAATGACATATGAAAGTCGGTCTTAAGGTAAAGATGTTGAGATGTAGACAGATTATTTGTGATGAAGACGATTGAAAGTGGGCAGTTTATATGGTAATGACATTTGGAGGTGTGGACAGTTTCTGTACTAATAGCCAAAGAGGATCTCTATGATAATAATGTTTGAAAGTTTTATAGTACCGTATATGTTTACTTGGAAAGTAAAATATTTTCAAAACCTAAATTATAATGTTTTGTTTGTTTGTTTTGAATTTCGCGCAAAGCTACACCAGGGCTATCTGCGCTAGCCGTCCCTAATTTAGCAATGTAAGACTAGAGGGAAGGCAGCTAGTCATCACCACCCACCGCCAACTCTTGGGCTACTCTTTTACCCACGAATAGTGAGATTGGCCGTCACATTATAACGCTCCCACGGCTGAAAGGGCGAGCATATTTGGTGGGACGGGGATTCGAACCCGCGTGAAGAAATTTGAATAATTATATCCATGAACTCAAGGGAAGTAACCATAGAACTGGTCACCCTTTATCATCACCTTCTTGCCCATCTTCTGTCCAAACACGGCCAAACTGCTGGACATAAAATCTCCTCAACTGACTAAAGTTTTAACTCTAGGCCGCACAGACTCGGACCTTGTCATTAAAGAAAGTCTATTTATTAAACAAAATCTCCCTATCTTTAAAAGTGACTTAACTTATGTTGATTATGCTTGTTTTAACTGTTTCTCACTCGTTATATAGATATCTTTATTAATTCATTTATTGTGGATCTGAGTTATATCAAACTTCTCTCACTATTTTTACAACCCACCCACCCCTCACTTTGAATCTTAATACTACCTTTTCAAATGTTTATAGTAGTATATATGCTTCTATTTAACATTAAGATGTAGTAGTTATAGTTTTGTGTTTAGTTGTATTAGCTGAACATGGAATGTATGTATATTCCGCAACGAAATATGTACGAAAGTTCTGTGGCTGTATTGAACAATAAAACGTCTTTTTTCACACAATTTCTTATTATTCACGAAACTCGACCTTCATTTCCGAGTTTACAAACTACAATTATCTCTTACTTCCATCTTCAGATTATACGAAACATGTTCATCGCTTCTTCTTGGTCTTCTGAGTTCACGAACTATGTCCATCACACGCATTTCTCATTACACAGGACCTTCAACTTCGGAGTTCACAAAACATGCTCATCATACTAATTTCATATTCAGAGCTTACAAAACATATACATTACATTACTTTCGCCTCCCGTTGGACAAAGTAAGTTTACGTACTTACAACGCTAAAATCCGGGGTCTGATTCCATGTGGTGGATACAACAGATAGCCTAATGTGGCTTTACTTACTCTAAAAAATATTATCTGTCGAGTTCCCCCCGGTAGATCAGCGGTAAATGTACCGAGTTACAACGCTGTAATCCGGGGTTCGATTCCCCGCGATGGACACGGCAAATAGATTAATGTAGCTTTGTTCTAAAAGACACAGCAGATAATCCAATGTGGCTTTGCTCTGAAAAACACACAAAAACACAGGGAAGTGTGAATTTCATTTCCAATCGTGTAGGTAGATCGATGACATTTTTTTGTATCCCACCGTCCCTGTGCACGAACCATTAAAATTCAGTTGGAATAAAACAAAACAGCGTCGTATAAATCGTAGTGGGCATCTATAACTTAGTGTATAAGTCATTAATTCAGAAAATTCTTACCACTCATAATACATATGATGACACGCTATATTGACCTTTGACACGGTATTGTCAGATCTAAAAACGGGCCGTTATGGCCCGATCTAAACTTTCTTCGGGGGTGTACAGTCGAGTATATCATTCATCATTCCTCACTTGTATAGAATAAGGTATTCGTGGCACATATTTTATTTGTTGGAACTGTAATTATCAACCCCCGAGTTGCAAGGTTTCTTATACAGTTTTCCTACTGATAAGTTATTGTAGATATTTATGGTATCGATAAGAACTGTGATTGAGTTCGTTACAATGAGGATATATTTACCGAAGAAGCTGTCCTTGATCATCTTAGAGCAAGATATCGTAATGTGACTCAGCCAACTCTTCTCTAAGTTGGGTTTTAAGTGGTATTTGTCTTGCACTGACACAAATAAACAGCAAGTGAATGTAAATCTACGTAAAAATTCACTTCTAAGATATAATATTGAGAGGACAGTCCAATTAATTACTCCGTTTATTGTCAATTTTGTAAGTTTTAAGAAGTAATGCGACTGCTAAAACAATACTCTTAATATATCTACTTTGAGACACTTTTACGACTTGTACATTATTGAAAAAAAACATTACTACAGCGGTTAGGTAAAGTGCATTTCTCTCCGACGACTAAAGAAATAAATATTTCCATCAACAAACTGTGTCTGGATAGGTATACAGTCGTCGTGCACGACTTGGAAAAGTAAGCTTATCTGAATCTCTCTCTGGTCGTTCTTTTGGTCAAGGATCAGGTACAACCCAACAGGTTGTTGGTTTAGTTCTTGATTGTCGTGGATGTTTGAGTGTTGAAAGAGCTCACAAGAGATAAGCATCTAATATTTTCAAACTTTGATATTTATTTAAGCTCTATATTTTAATCGCTATACACTCAAAAAACGACTTAATTAAATTAACGAAGATTTTAATTAAATTAGTATCAAATTCTTAATACTATATTTGCCTATTAAGATTCTTAATATTTTTATTAAATATGATCTTAATTACATATGAAGCTCTTCTAATTAACTTACATAATAAATTTTAAATACATTGGCAAATTATAAAATTGCTTAATCAAACAAGTTATCGAAAAAACTTTTAAACCAATTACGTAATAACGTAATTTAATGTCATGAACTATTTACGTTTAGTTTGTCATGTTTATATACATGTCAAAAAATTTTGAAACTTATTATTTTTCTAAAACTTTATTGG